GGAGCAGCGGGAGTTCGGGCCCTGGCTGTGGAGGAGAATTGGGGCAGCCCCCGCCCCGGGCCCTCACAGCTTTCTCCCTGGCTTCACAGGAGCGGCAGCTACTGGGGGCCGGGAGCTCTGTGGTCAGCTGCCTGCTGGAGGGCCCCGTCCAGCTGGGTCCTGGGAGTGTCCTGCAGCACTGCCACCTGCGGGTGAGGCCTGAGAGGGCAGGCAGAGGGAGGGCAAGGGTACAGGAGCCAGGGTCCTATGTGTTTTGTGGGCGTGCTTGGGGTTCACCTGCCCACGCAGGACGCCTGCCTGCTCCCCTGCCAGGGCCCCATTCACATCGGCACCGGCTGCTTCGTGAGTGGCCTGGACGCGGCCCAGTCCGAGGCACTGCATGGCTTGGAGCTGCACGACCTCATCCTGCAGGGACACCATGTGCAGCTGCACGGCGCCCGCAGCCGGGCCTTCACCCTCGTTGGCCGTCTGGACAGCTGGGAAGTAGGTGCTCACCTGCCTCCCCTCGCCCCCATTCTTTAGGCTTTGGGGAGCACCGGGGGTCCTAGCCCAGCTTTATTGCAGGGCTCTCTGAGCGCTCACCTGAGGGATAGGCAGTGAGGAGAGTGTAGCCAGTAGAGTCTCAACAGGCCTTTACCTCCCTCCTCAGCTGCTCTGATGCAGGCTGGGTGGGGATTCTTATCCCCATTTTTCAGGCCAGAGACTGAGGTTCAGAGAGGGAGGTGACCCGCCTTGGGCTGCAGAGCCAGTTATGGAGGGTCAGGCGCCAGGAATCTGCTCCAAGTTCCAGGCACCCGGGCTGGAATGTGGAAGCTCCAGGACCTGATGCTGTTTCAGAACTTGCTTGCCTAAGTGCCCCTGTCTCTTTTCCTGTCCCCTCTTGAGCAGATCCTGGTCCTCTGGCCTTATTGCCCTTAACCCCTTCCTGTGGCCCCTGCAGCCCTGACTGCTTCCTTCTCTTCCCCCAGAGACAGGGGACCGGAACGTATCTCAACATGTCTTGGAGTCAGTTCTTCCAGAAGACAGGCATTCGGTAGGGTTGGTGGCCCCACGGGCCTCTGTGGGCCTCGGCAGCCAGGGTCGTAGCTGCTTGGAGGTTCATTCTGCTCCTGCCCCACCCCCCACCATCCCTGCGGTCTGGGGTAGTTTTTTTTTTTTTAATTTATTTATTTTTGGCTGCTTTGGGTCTTCATTGCTGCGGGCGGGCTTTCTCTAGTTGCGGCGAGCAGGGGCTACTCTTCATTGTGGTGCACGGGCTTCTCATTGCAGTGGCTTCTCTTGTTGCGGAGCATGGGCTCCAGGCGCACGGGCTTCAGTAGTTGTGGCACACAGGCTCAGTAGTTGTGGCTTGTGGGCTTAGTTGCTCCACGGCATGTGGGAATCTTCCTGGACCAGGGCTCGAACCAGTGTCCCCTGTGCTGGCAGGCGGCTTCCTAACCACTGTGCCACCAGAGAAGTCCCCTGGGGTAGTTTCGAGCAGCCTGATTTGCCCTAGCATCTTCTCCCTGGGCAACTCCAAATTCCTGGCCGTGCTCAGGCTTTGGGATTTTGTTCAATGGCCTGGGAAAGGAGGCAGGGCAGCTGGGCCTCCCTCCCTGAATTGCCTGCTTGTGCTGCCTTTGGAGTTCGTCCTGTCCCCATGAATGAGCCAACCCCCAGCTGACAGGTGGTCGGGTCTTGGTGACCAAGCAGGAGCACTTGCTTCCCTCCTGCTCATGTGTCTTCTCCCCACATCAGGGACTGGGACCTGTGGGACCCAGACATGCCCCCCACTGAGCGCTGCCTTCTCAGTGCCCGTCTCTTTCCCGTGCTCCACCCCTCGAGGGCCCTGGGGCCCCAGGACGTGCTGTGGATGCTGGACCCCCAGGAGGATGGGAGCAAGGCCCTGCGGGCTTGGCGAGCCTCCTGGCGTCTGTCCTGGGAGCAGCTGCAGCCGTGCCTGGATCGGGCTGCCACACTGGCCTCCCGCCGGCACCTGTTCTTCCACCAGGCCCTGCATAAGGCGCGGCACGTGCTGGAGGCCCGACAGGACCTCAGCCTGCGCCCGCTGATCCAGGCTGCTGTGTGCGAGGGCTGTCCTGGGCCCCTGATGGCCACCCTGGACCAGGGTGAGTGTGCTGGGCACCCATGCTGGGAAGCCAGACCCAGCATCACCTGCCCTGTCTGCCCTCTAGGTCATCAACCTGAGAGTACTAGCGAGTCATGAGACTTTAAAGCAGGGGAAAGACACAAATGGACTTAACTTTTAGGTTTCTGGGAAGCTCCATCCCTGTTAATGGGGAGTTTGGTGAGAGGCGGAGGCCTGGGGCTGAGCCTCTGGGTCCTGTGAGCGTCGGCAAAGCCTGCACGTTCTGTGCTGGATATGGGTGCTGGATATGGGGGCGCTAGATATGGGTGAAGAGCTCCAGTACAGCCCCAGGGGGACGTGGCCCGCCCTGCATGGGACCCAGGCATTCTGGCTGGGGGACTCAGCCTTAGCCTCACAGGGACTGCCTCATTCCCCATTTCAGTTATTCACTCACGACCACACAGCTGGTTGGTGGGGGGCTGAGACTGAACCCAGGTGGTTTGCCCCCCAAGCCTGAGCTGTTACTCATTAAGGGCATCCTGGGTTGTGGGTGCAGAGGCATGTCTGGGCTGGGGCTGGTGGGATGAGAACTTTGCCAGGCAAAAGAGTGGGGAGCATTCCCAGGCAAGGATACATCTTGGGCAAAAGTGAAGAGGTGTGAGGGGTCTGGGGTGCTTGAGGGCAGGGGGCATTGAGGGCGGGCCTCCTCCCCAGCTACTCCTGACTCCTGGTCCCTCAGTGGCAGCTGGTGTGGGAGACCCTGGCGTGGCAGCCCGGGCACTGGCCTGTGTGGCGGATGTCCTGGGCTGCATGGCAGAGGGCCAAGGAGGCTTACGGAGTGGGCCAGCTGCCAACCCTGAGTGGGTGCGGCCCTTCTCGTACCTGGAGTGTGGAGACCTGGCGCGGGGCGTGGCGGCACTTGCCAAGGAGCGGGACAAGTGGCTGAGCAGGTGGGTGCTAATGATGTCAAAACCCTTGGAGCAGCCCCCTGCCGTCCTTGGAGGTGGAAACCCCGAGAGAGGTAGAGTGTCCTCAGGTCACCTAGGGCAGTCGGTCCCTAAGCCCAAGCAGCCCGCCCCCAGCTTGGGGCTCCATGCCACCATCTCTCCGTTCCCTCCTGGCAGACCAGCCTTACTAGTACGAGCTGCCCGCCACTACGAGGGGGCTGGGCAGATCCTGATCCGCCAGGCTGTGATGTCAGCCCAGCACTTTGTCTCCTCGGTGCCGGTAGAGCTGCCAGCACCTGGGCAGTGGGTGGTGGCTGAGTGCCCGGCTCGAGTGGACTTCTCTGGTGAGCCCCTTGGGTGGGGTAGGGGTGAGGGTAGCCACCCCAGAACTGAGCTAGCACCCCCTGTGACCAGCTTGGTCTTGTTCAATTGCCACAGGGGGCTGGAGTGACACGCCACCTCTTGCCTATGAGCTTGGTGGGGCAGTGCTGGGCCTGGCTGTGCGAGTGAATGGCCGCCGGCCCATTGGGGCCAGGGCTCGCTGCATCCCAGAGCCCGAGCTGTGGCTGGCATTGGGACCTCGGCAGGACAAGATGGCCACGAAGATAGTATGCGGGAGCCTGGATGACCTGCAGGATTACTGCCAGCCCCATGCCCCAGGTCAGGGCACCTGTGAATTGCGCAGGTGGGGATGGCACACCTAGCCAGCTGGGGGATGGGGGCAGAACCCGAGAGACCCTGCAGGCCATGGGTGCCTGGCCTGAGGGCGAGCCAGTCTGGTGGAGGAGCCCTGACGTTACCCTGCCCAGGCACAGGAGGTAGAGCTGGCACATTTGCTGGTGTTATGGAGCCCAGAGGACCTTTTGTGGCTTGGGGATGGGGTCTGCACCACTGCTGGGCTTTTATCCCCTAGATGAGCCCCAGGCCAGGCTGAGATGGGTGGGGTGTCTGTTTCCACCCCTGGAGACCAAATCCTTGCCGGATGCTGCTCACTCCACAGGGGCGCTGTTGAAGGCGGCCTTCATCTGTGCGGGGATCGTGAGTGTCCACTCCAAGCTCTCGCTGAGCGAGCAGCTGCTGTGTACCTTTGGGGGCGGCTTTGAGCTGCATACCTGGTCTGAGCTGCCCCATGGCTCTGGCCTTGGTGAGCAGGCCCTGTCTCCCTGCTGCTCACCAACTCCGTTCCCCCTTTCAGCTTTGCCTCCAATCCTCTCCCCAGCCTCTGCCCAGTGGAGGGGGACGGGGTGGGGCAGGATTGGGCTGGGCAGAGCTGTTTCATGGCTGGTACTCTCCTCTGTGCCCTGCAGGCACCAGCAGCATCCTGGCGGGGGCTGCCCTGGCCGCCTTGCAGCGGGCCGCAGGCCGGGCGGTGGGCACGGAGGCCCTGATCCACGCAGTGCTGCATCTGGAGCAGGTGCTTACCACAGGTATGGACTGCCCCAGGGCAGAGGGAGGTCACTGGAACTTTTTCAGGGGCCTCCAGGGGCTTCCCTGGACCTGCAGACAGAACTGTGCTGCTCCTTACAATGGTTAGAGCTTCCCTCTTATCACTCTGACACTCTCTCTCTGGTGGTTTTCAAAATGAAATATTTCTACTTCAAAGGACTTGATGTAGGAGCGCCTACTAAGTGTTAAGAGTCTGTGCTGCACCTTTCATGTGTGTTAGGTATTCCTCATGTCTCTGTTCCTACCCAGGGCTGGGTTTGGATTAGGGGACAGGACCTTCAGCCTGTTCTTCAGCACCGTGCCTCTCCCTTGGGCTAGGGCCACTTGTCCCTCGCTTCCCCCACATGATGGGGGTACCCAGTGCATGGTTGTGATCATACAGAATGTCACTAGCTTCTCCTACTCATCACTGTGGCCCCTTAGCATCCATGCACAATGGAGAGCAGCCAGAGGTTTGTCTGGCTCTAGGGTGCTCTGGTCACCTCAGGATGCCAGGCCTCATCTTCAGCATGACTCTGGGAGGGAAACTGCCACAAAGATTTATAGATGCCTGATTATGGTATCTTCTCTGGCCACTTTGTAGCCTAGCTCCCTCCTTTCATTGTAATGACTCACATCCCATAATAGGTAGTCATTAGCAAAAGCGGCAGATGGGGGAGCTTTTTTAGTTTTCTTTTGAGGTACACTGTTCATATCTCTCATTTGGTCAAATGACAACTATTTATCGAATACCCCCTCTGTATTGGGCCCTGGGGATAAAATGAGCAAAAACAGCATCCCTGCCATCGTCTTACGGTCTATTGGAGACACTGATCAATAACCACTCCAATAAATGTATAATTACAAGCTACGCTACGTGCTCCGAAGGAGAGGGGTGCAGTTAAGGAGTTCTTGACATTCCAGGCCTGACACTAACCACATTTTGGCTGTAAAGTTCCAGATGCCTCCTGCCATTTGCATTTTATACTCGAAATCCTTGCAGGCCCTTCTCCAAATATCAAAGGCCTATCCCAGAATCATCTCAAGTTTTGACATTTTTATATAGCTGCAAGAAGAAAAGAGATCCATACCTTTCATTAGTAAAGCAAAATGTGAACAAGCTATTTTAAGTTTGATAAGAAATGCTGAGAAGCTTATTTCCACCATCAACACCCTTTATCAGGCAAGCCAGGGTGCAGGGACTGTTAGGCTATAGGGAAAGTCCTATGTCATCCCTCCTCAGGGGGAAAGGTTAGTGTAAGGTCTTAATCCTTTGATGTGGTTTACCCCAATTCCAAGTACACATTAGGTCTGCAACAAAACTCAGGCCTTGTGCATTCTAAGCTTGGCTCCAGAACGAAGCCCCTTCCATTGCTGGGCTCAACTTGCTCCCAGGGCGGGGGCAGAAGCTGCACAGCTCACCTGGCCCAGCTGAAGTTGCGGTGGGGAAGCTGTCTTCCCACACTGGTCCCTGCCAGGGATGCAAGGCCAGGAGCCTGTACTGGGAGAGGGAAGCTGGGCCAGATAGGCTCCAACAGTGACGGGGCCCGGGCTCTCGCAGGAGGTGGCTGGCAGGACCAAGTGGGTGGCCTAATGCCTGGCATCAAGGTGGGGCGCTCCCGGGCTCAGCTGCCGCTGAAGGTGGAAGTGGAAGAGATCACTGTGCCTGTGGGCTTTGTCCAGAAGCTCAATGACCACCTGCTCCTGGTGTACACTGGCAAGACCCGTCTGGCCCGGAATCTGCTGCAGGTGAGCCCTGGCCCCAGAAGGGAGGGACGCGAGACGGCTCAGCCAGGCTGAGCCTCACTGTACCCCTCCTGCCCCATCTGTAGGACGTGCTGAGGAGCTGGTATGCCCGGCTGCCTGCCGTTGTGCAGAATGCCCACAGCCTGGTGCGGCACACCGAGGAGTGTGCTGAAGCCTTCCGCCAAGGTAGGGCGCCTCTTCCCCGGAGCTCAGGCACCAGCAGTGAGTGCCTGGTGCCTGTGGGTCTGAGGCCCGCGGCCTTTGCAGACTTGGCACCGGCCCTAGGTATGAAGCCTCTGTCCTCTGCAGGGTCCCACACTTAGGTGGGAGTCACATCTCAGGTCAATACTTGCATCCTGGGGAAGGCCTCCAGCCCCACCTACCAGGAAGCAGATGGGGGAAGAGGCTTGGCTCCATAGCCGAGTTCCAGGGAGTCAGAGCTGATTCGGGTTACACAGTTCAGTGAACACTGTGCCAGGTACCACGCCAACTGCTCTGTGCTCGTTAGTCCTCAGACAACCCCGTGAGGTGGGCTTTATCACTCCTGTTTCCAGTGAGTACAGAACCCAGGTTCTTAACTATGACACTGGTTAAGAAGTGCCTCTTGGCACCCCATCCAGTCTACAGATGGGCACTGAGTGAATATCCTGGCTCAGGCACACCACTCCCCTCTCTGCCCCCACCCCAGGGAGCCTGCCTCTGCTGGGCCAGTGCCTGACATCATACTGGGAGCAGAAGAAGCTCATGGCTCCAGGCTGTGAGCCCTTGGCTGTGAGGCGTATGATGGATGTCCTGACCCCCCATGTGCATGGCCAGAGCCTGGCAGGGGCAGGTGGCGGGGGCTTTCTCTACCTATTGACCAAGGAGCCGCGGCAAAAGGAGGCTCTGGAGGCTGTGCTGGCCAAGACTGAGGTATGGGGTGGTCGGGGTATGGTATCTGGCGCGGGACAGGAGCCCTCCCTGTGGCCCACCAGCTAACCAGCGGCTACAGGTGTAAGTCCCCTTGGCCCTGCAGCCACAGTCCAGCCTCCCGAAAGCCTAAAACCCACCCAGAACCCTCTAAGCACCTCCTGTCCTTTGCTCCTAGGGCCTCGGAAACTACAGCATCCACCTGGTAGAAGTGGACACTCAGGGCCTGAGCCTGCAGCTGCTGGGGACTGAGACCTCAGCCTGATGCCCCTTCTCATGAGGCTTGTCCCTCTGCAAGAGGAGAAAGCCTGGAGCTATAGCAGGCCCTCCCTTCCTTCCCCCATGGGAGCGCTCAGTCTTCTACTCTCCACCCACTTCTTTGTGAATCTGCTTCCGAAGGAAGCCAACCTGAGCTCAGGCCCAGCCCTTTCTAAAAGTTGGTGAAGCACAGACGGTGCTTGGGAACAGGACTGTGACCTCCTGGTTGACAGGGGCCTAGGCTTGGTGTCTGCTCCATCTGGACATAGGAAGGTTCTAAGTTCAGCGTCCACTGTGACCTTTACAAATCTGATGGCCCAGCTTGGGCCTTGGCCTTCTCACTCTCCATGAGGGCCTGGAAGAAGGGGATGACAACCAGCCTTGGCAGATGGCTGGGTTCCCTTGGTAAGGCCGACCCTGAAGAGGCCCTTTGAGGCATTTCCTGTGGCCTTCCTTAGAGGTCAGGCTTTTGCCTGAGTAGAGACTTCCTGTTCCACACTCACTCCCAAGCTGACTTAATGGGGGAGTGGGAACAGGGGTGAGGGTCCACACTTGTGTCTGTGGCAGAGAGTCAGTGCAGTCCTGCAGCAAGTCACTGCTAATCGTGGCCTTAACCAGCAACTCTGCCATGTGCCTGTGGGCCGTGAGTTCTCAGGACTGCAATCTTTTTGGAATAAATTCACTCTGCTCTTCAAGGTTGTCCTCATAAAGATCTTTTTTGTTCCTGCTGGGAGCAATTCCCACTTCCCCTGGCACTATGGGAAACTGCCCCTGGGATGATCCAACTTCTGGTGCTGAGGGCCCAAGAGATGGGATGAGGGTCCGGGATTGGATGAGGCACCTGTTATCATGTGGGTCCTGGTGGTGGCCATGTGCCTCTCTGGGTGTGGGAGGAGGCTGAGGATTTAGGCTTTTGCCTTCACATTTCAGTGCAACTGATGGAACTGTCTTGCTCTGTAGCATCCAGCCCTTCCTGGAAACAGCACACTGGCATCTCTTCAAGGAATATCTTTATTTAGAGTGATCATAAACATCACAGCCTCTCCTCGGAATAAACCTAATTCCTTAGGTCGCTAGATAAACCTAAGTCCTTTAAGACTGGCAGGGAGGCAGCCCATTTGCTGCAGTGTCAAAGGACGAGAGAATGACTACCCGTGCAGGAGACTGGCCTGCCCTGTCTTCCCCACCTAATTTGGAGCCAAGGGGGACCTACCTTACTTGGTGGGGAGAGACTGTCCCCCAAAGCACCCTGACAGGTCTGAGAACAGAGAGTGGACTGCATCGGGGCCTTGTTTCCCTGCTGCCAGCAGTGGAACAGCCTGGGCTGTGGCCACTTAGGGAATGGGCCCCAAAGCGTGATGGGCCAGGTGGGGTCACCCTGGCAGCTACAGGCGCAGCCTCTTGATGTCCTCGCTGCGGAAGTCTATGCGCAGAGCCAGCACC